GACTCCATGAGTATGTTGAGGATGTGTTTGGTGTTGTTTGTGTTGTTTTTTTGGTTTGTCGTTTGGCATGTTACTGATAGATAGATATTGTGATAGCCGCATATAAGTATGTGTTATTCGCTTAAATTTCCTAAGAGATTATCAAAATGAAATGGTGGAGATATGCATCTAAATATTATTTCTTGTAGTACTCATTGTCTTAAAGTTGTGCGGAGTATTGTGTTTGTTTATGTGAATTGTATTTCGCACTAGTTTCATACAAATATGTCTGAATGATGCATAGTATATAATGATATGAGTTAAAAATTGTAAATAGAAAAGTTAAATGATGAACAATAAATTATAATTTTTATAGTATAGGAGAAATATGGTCTTGAAACTCTGACGTCTTGATTGATTGTGAATAAAAGTGGATATAAGTAAGAGAGACAGCTATGTTGTTTGGTGTTGATAAAGTGGGTGTTAGTAAAATGATCAATATTAGAATAAATTAAGTGGATGCTGTACATAGATATAATGGTGTGTGAAGTATATTGTTCATGTTGTATTTGTTATAAATTGGGTTAGGAAGTATGGTTTGTCTAGCATACCAAAGAACCATATGTTGAGTATGGCACATGTCTTTATTACTGAATAAATATATGGTTATTATGCATCGTCGTAGGTTTCTTGTGGCATTTAATTTAACAATGTAAGATGTTTAAATCCGTCGTTAAGACAATGAGATCAAGTTTGTAGCACAGTCATGACACAATTGGTTTGTGGAGTAAATGGTTTGTTTGTTGGCTGGTGTTGTTAAATGGGAAGGTGATTACGTGATTTTAAAATAGTAGGTTTTAGCCAGTGTCTCTTCTATGATAATATTAAAAAAATGTAAATGATTACATTTCTGTATGAAGATATTTCTTCAGTAATTAAAGTAAATATGCATTTGTTATGATTGGTAGTCTATGTTGTTTTTCCCGGTTATAGTGAGGGTATAAAAAATGGTACTCTTTTATTACTTGCTGATGGAAGGGTGACTGGGCATTTAAGGAGTGAGGATTGTCAAAGCCTTGAAAGGCTTTGAGTTATTTGAGTAGTTTTACATTGAAGAATTATTAGTGATACAGTTAAACTCATATTATTGTGGTAGTTGCAAACTTGAATGAACCTAATTCATCAGTAAGAAATTGATTGAATAAATGGGTACTTCCACATATGAAAAAATGTTCAATAATCTATTAAATGGGCCATGCACACACATGCCTGTGTAGACCACTGAGCCATACCTGCTTTCCCACCTCCCACTTCTCTACAAGTACCTGGCAAGTACTGCATTCTCTGTGTCTAGTTTTTTAGTGTAAAAGAGAAAACAAAATGGACCTAAATTGATTATTAGGAGATTCATAAAGTGTTGATGTACAAAACACCTAGAAAAATACCAGGTATGCAATAAGTACTAACAATAGTTTTTTTGTGGCTGTTATTATTTTATACTGAGAAAAAAGGTACAAAATAAATAAGCAACCTCTCTGATAAATACCTTTACAAATAAAACAACTCTGTCATATAATTTAGATTTTTTAAGGTTTCCATATATAAAATGTGATACATTTATCCAATAAATTATTGATATCAGGATGGTATTAAGTTTTAGTTATTTATGGCTATCTGTGATTTCAGAATCTAAAATCATTATGTGCTAGAAATATGTATTTTTTTCTTTTAAAAACTACATGCACATAATTTCTTCCAAATCAATAGTTCTATAGTATGTGACTGTATATAGAAAAAGTATAGTTGAATTTTAATTTTTCTCTTTACTTTTATCCATACGCATGAATTCCATGGCCTTTGTAAGTAGTGGAGTGGCATCACTGTGGATGGGAAGAGGTAACTTTATTAGTTCTCAGTCTTTTAACATAAATGATAATCATATATAGTTTATTCAAAAAAAAATATAATATTAATATGATTCATTAATATGAAAATATATTAATGTTAAATAATAAGGTAAATTATCTTCTAAAAGCAATGGTTATAAGCTAGATGATATAAAGTATGTAGAATGTTCATTTTTTCATCTTATAATAACTTTGTCTGTTAAATGTGCATTTTAACATTGTCATTAAAACACACCATTTTATGGATAAAAAAAACCAAGCCAATGAATGAGGCTAATGCTGCGTGTTAGGTTAAAAAATGGGAGTCAATTTTAAAGAGAAAATTAAATAATGCTGCAGATAGCATTAGAAAAAAACTGTCTTTAAGAGATATTTTGATGATTGAATGAAGTTCAGGATATACTGTCCTAAAATAATTTGATTAAGATATGTCATGCCTAGAATAATTTATAAATGTTTCTGTGCAACTAAATAAGTAAGATCAGTAAAATATCTCTTATTTAAATTTAGTATTATGGTTAGCAAAATTCAATATGATCTTGACCATTTAAGTATTTATGTTTATAATTTTCAAGTTATTTTAATTTTATATAGATTCATCTGATTTAAATAAAAACTGTAAGTGTGTTAATGTTCACTTTATGTATATTTCTTCTACTTTTGTATTGGAGAAGGCTTTAGACAAATTGTAGATATAAGTAATGTTGAATCTTTATAATGAATATATTCAAACTCAACGAGTAAAGAGTAAACTTTACAGAGATGTTTTCCAAAGTATAAAATGAATATATTCCTAGAGTATTTAAGGTCCTTTTAAATTCTTGAAACAATAGCATCAAAATCAAGCATAGTAGCACAGCCACTATTGGAAAATAGTCCATAACTTCTCAAAAACTAAAAATAGAATTACCATTCAATCTAACAATCCCACTACTAGATACCTACCTACCCAAAAGAAATCAATACATCAAAGAAATACTTGAACTTGCATGTTTATTGCAGCACTATTCACAATTGCAAAGAACAGAATCAACCTAAGTTTCATTATTGGATAAAATAATAAAGAAATTGTAATATAATACACAATGGAATACTGTTCAGCCATAAAAGAGAATGAAATCATGTCAATTGCAGCAACATAGCTGGAACTGGAGGTCATTTATATAAAAACTTGCATGAAAAGAAAATATGGCATGTTCTCCACTTTATGTAGGAGCTAAATTTGATCACATAGGAGGCAGACAGTGGAAAGATAGTTAATAGAGACTGGAAAGGTGAGTAGGGGAGGGCAGGATGAAGAGAATGGGTTAAAGGCGTCGTACTCAGTAATTTTTTAGATGTATCAAACCATTTTTTTCAGACTCCATTTAGGATTTTCAAGGGAATTACAAACCATTTTCTTTGCAGGAATGACTTTCTCTATCGTCCATGTGGAAAGTTCTTATTTCTTTTATTCAAGACCAAACTAAATGTGCCCCCTCTGTGAGGTCCCTTTTAAGGCACTAATCATAGTAAACTGTAATTTGTATGTTTGCCTGCCTATATTCCCAACTTTAAGGAAAAATAGAGACTGTGTTTATTTTTGGATCCCTAGTGTAGTTACAGGTATTAAAACTGGTTTAGTGAAAGTATGAATTAACAAGAGTCAATCTTATCAACCTGGGAGTCTGAGACCATTTGGTATCAAGATTTAAAAAATAAAATCAGGTCCTCATGCATTTGTAACCTTGAAAGTGGCAAGTAAATTTTAGGCTATTTACCTTCACAATGACATCATAGTCAAGGAACTTGAGGCTAATGTATTCTTGTAAAAAAATGTGCTTGTAAAATCATAACTATATCAGCAAACACATTTTCTTGTTCACAATGAGTTCTCTCTCTGCCTAGAGATCATCCGTAAATACAAGTCAATCTCCTTATCATATACCTCACATGTCAGTATAGAATTGAATTTCTTTTCTTCAATTAAAAATAATGACAAAAAGCTTCAGAGCTGACGTACTCTTTGGCCAACTATGTAACGCTGCATTTCTAGATTCTTTGTGGGATGCGTGAAGGGCGTATTTACCTACCTGAGTTTTTTGCAGGGCATGGCTGGCAGGGCTCTCCGAAGCCATAGTCTGGATTGGCACAGCAGCATTCTGACTTGGTCACTGCTCCGGGGAAGGGACGGACACACACTCCCTTCTTGATCCCTCCATAGCAGGTACTGCGCATGTGCGTATCTAAAGGCGTCAGAAGAACGATGACTTAAAACAGTGATAGAGACAAAGAGATTTCAAAACCGAAGGCTTCTTTTAACCGAAGTGGCCACTAGACTGGAAGCTTCGAGAGGGCACCTGCCACTTTTGTTCTGCACCTTTAGCAACTAACACGGTTAGGAAATTGACGGATGTTTGCTGAGTGAGGGCGAGTGTGAGTGCAGATCCCCCTCGCCCGCTTACCCTCACGCGCCTGTCGCCGGAGCAAGGACATTTCCACAGGTGTAAACAACACTCTGAGCTCTGTCTCATCACCGGCTATGCTACACTCAAAATGACACTTCTTATCATTTCTATTTTGGAAGTTCTCCTGAACAATGAAATATTATACAATGAAGTTAAGCTACCTTGAGGTGCCTGTCCTTGGGCATGCGATTTCTTACTTCCACTTTCTGAGTTAGGACACCTTTCCTTTCAATCCCCAGGATACTGCTTATGACTGTTGATCTCAGATGCTCGATAAATCCAGTTATAAAAGTAATAACTGGCACTATGTGCCCTTGGCATTGTGCTACTTGCTTTACAGACATTATCTCATAGAACAGTCAGGTCCACAACTCTGTAGGATAGTGGTCATTGTCCACATTTTACAGATGAGGAAGATGAGCTATGAAAAGAGCTCTGTAAGTAGCTTGAAGTCCTTGAATATCCAGTGCCTGAGTTGGGATTCAGACAAGGCTTGTGTGACTTACAAAATTCTTCCTTTTTCCACTATGTCATGCTACATCCCAAAGCAGTGTATCCTACTTAGTCCTCTCACTCTCAATTCTCATGAAACATACTACGACTTTATGAGACCGTAAAGGGTGAACTATAAAAAAACTCAGATCATCATGAAGGCCTGAGAAGCAGTACAATGTTTAACCAGTATACTGACATGGTAATTTCATCAGTGATAACCTCTATTATTATTCACAAGTTGTTGGAAATAATTTTATCTGCTTGTTACACAAAATGAGTCATCTTATGATTTCTTATAATCTGGGATGTTTCTGAATAAAAGAATGTGATTTATAGTTGCATTAAAAAATGAGATATGTGTATGTTCAAATGGAAGAGGGCCACGGGATTCACCACCCCTATTCTGAGGAGTCAACTTGGAGACTTTTTCTGCTTCCGCCATGGCTGAGTTTGGTAGTTTGCTCTGAGTTACACATAAATGCAGGGCTTGATTCAAAAAGACAAGTTTGCACGAATACAACACAGTTCATGATTTCCAATATGATTTTTGTGAGTTCTTTGGACTCAAAAAATTAGCAATTAATCTCAGAAACCATTAGAGGAATGGTCAAAATTATTTGTTTTCTTATTAAAAACATATTCCATGAACACTTTTTAGAAGTATGTAGATAATAGGCCTGTGGAACTTACTGGAAGAGTAAAACACATTACATGCTGGTTTGTATTTCAGGTTGACTAATCTGTTTAGAGTACCCAATACCAGAAGTTCCATGAAAGAAAAAGTAATGTAATCTATGTATAGGTTTTAGGGACATAAGTTGTCTTAGGATCAAAGCCTCATGGGATGATGTTACATAAATATATACCACCTTCTTATTCATTAAACAGGATAAAGTTTATAGAGTAAATGAAAGTATATTTGTTAAGCATTAAGCACAGTGCCCAGGACACACAGGAAATATACCAAAAAAATGGTGGCTTACCTTATTTCCCTTTTCTACCTTTAGTGAGGACAGTCAACCTTTTCCCATTCAAAGACCTCAGAAGGGAAACCTAGTTCACAGAACACTATTCAAATGTAATTAAGCCACTGTTCACAGGTGGATAGGAGAAGAGGACCAATACCATAGCACCATTAGAATGTGCTCATACGAATGCCTTGGTGGGGTATTGGACCTAAATGCTAAGCTATGTCTTTTCCATATGTTATCACATTTCTGCATGTCTTTTCTTTCTTAAAAAACAGAACTGTTTTAGGACTTTCTCAAGTAATCAGTAGATTCTATACATCATTGGTAAAATATATATGGATGCAAAATGCTAATTTTATTTTATTCTTTCTTTAGTATCAATTTTTTTAGTACTTAAAGTAGCAACTAGATATGATGCCACTATTTCTAATTTGATACAAAAATGATTAACAGTGATAGTTAACTTATTGGGCATTTGCTATGTGCCAGACACCGTTCAAAGCTTTGTACAAATAAAGTGTCTAATATTAACTGATCTAATCCTAAGACTAGCTAACAAGCAGAGAAGGCACACAGAGGCAATGTATCTTGCCCAAGGCCACACAGCTAGTCAGTAGCAGAACTGAGATGAAGAAAAGAAAATTAACCTTTAACTGGCAGAAATGTTCATAAAGATGTTTAAACATTCTTAAACCAACGTAACAGGATGCTAACAAGGAAATTTAAGGTGAAATCCTATTAATATCAAATAACAAGGTGAATTTTGAGACCCCATCCTAAAGGAAGCTGATACAGAAAATTAGTTACCTGATTCTTAAACCCTTCCCAACATTAAGGATATAAATAGTTTAAGAGAGGATTTTTCTGAAGAGCATATTTTTGGCGAGAGCTGAGTTGAGTTGGGGCTGCTTCCCTCCTGGAGGGCGCTGGGCGCCCCCCGCCAGCGAGGCCCTGGCTGCTTCCTGCTGCAGGAGGGAGGGCGGGGCAGCGGTGGGGGTTCACGCAGGCGACAGGACAAGGGGGGTTGTGTCCTACGGACTGGAAGTTGTCACATTAAGAGAGGTTCCAAGATGGCTACATGGAGGGTGACGAGACTCCATCAGAGGAAGTCTCTGTGAAGAGGACTGCTGAATGAACGCTCAGAGCGGGGCGCACAGCGCCCCGAGAAAAAAGCAGGGTCTGCAACTCCGGCAGGGCAGTTGAGGCCTCTGAAGGACTCACAAAATTGCCCACAAGGAAGAAGTTGGCTTTAAACATCTGCAAATCCCAGAAATCTTGAAGCCAGTCTAGGATAATATCAGTAATAAAATAACTTCTTTGTTCTATCTTCTAAAAACCTCTCCTCCTCCACTCTGACCCTGGAAGAATGAGGAACCTTCTCACTCACTGAAGATTTGAGGTTGGAAGAGAAGTTGTAACTTAAAATCCAGTTCAAAGTACTAATTATTATATGGTACTGGGCATTCTAATTTCTAAATTCATATTATTTTCATTACATAAAGTCATCATAGAATTTTTTTGTTACCTAAACATATTCATTTAAGTTATGGGGAGGCTTGAGTTTCCTTCCTTGTTTACTGAATACACTGCCCCCATTGAATAAATTTAAAAATTAATTTTAAAAGAATGAGAAAAACAAAAATACAGTTGCCTTTTGTTTATACCCTGCTTGTGAGTCATACTTCTTCAACATACAAGTTAAAATCGTAGCTTAATTTTCTGAAAATAAAATAAATCTTAATATCTAGAGAAATAAAAAATGAATATACAAAAACAGATTTAATATAATGTTAATCCTAATAATAATTCCTAGTAGTGATTCTAAGCCTCACAAACAAACAGTGGACCTAAAAAGTGACAGCAAGGCAGAAAATATGAATACAACACATCTAGCACATTATAGGAACAGCAACATGTGATTTTACACACATGACGAATAGTGTTTTTATTTTAAGAAGTTTAAGTGAGTACAATGATGAAAAACTGGAGCGGGCTTTCTGATAATTTCTGATGTGTTTCTTGGATGTGAACAAAAGAATGAATGTTTTGTGTTTGAACATTGAATTCCTAACAACTACTTATATGTTGGTCACTTAAGAGAAAAATAATTCCTCCCTCAAAAGTTGGCTTTGTACTCACTGTTGATTTCAACAGGATCATTTAGGCAAAGGAATAAAGCAACCAAGTGTATTAAAGTAACTGAAAATATTCTGGCTCTGTAAGTCGGAAGAAGCTACATTCTTCTAGTTACTGTATTTGAAATGTCCCTGAACACAGTGCTGACAACCTCACAGGGTGAAATAAATCCTATATTGGATACAGTTAATGAATTTAAGTGAATGAATTATTTCCATCTGCTGATTCTTCATATTTTTTTTACTTTTGGAATCCAAATGTTTTGATTCTCATAGGTAAGAGTAAACTATTAACAACTATGTCTAAGAATTTCATTTCTCTCAAATATACTTTGAAATCACTAAGTATTTCTGAGTTTTACTATACAACCTGAAAAACAGAGGGTGAACAAAGGCTAATTAACTCTAGAAGTCTCACAAAAGCATTTCAAAGAGAAATTTGCATTAATTAACTGCATTAAAGTTTACAAGTTACTCTGCAATCCTTGTCATGAGATCACATTGTTCTGGTTCTAAAATGCCAATGACATTTCTGTTTTGCCTTCCTCTTCAAAGCTGATGCCTGGTAATTCTGATTGATTTTCAAGAAATCCATTTGACAAAGTATTTAAGAGGAATCTGAATGGCTTAGAATAAAATATATATTCTTTCTAATACCCTTGCCTTACTTCTACAATGAATTGCACAGTGATGAGTTACAACTAAAAACATTTCTAACTTTGATATAAGTCCAAGTTCTACGGCATTAGTTATTTGCATTTTACATTTTTGTTTGGGTAAAAGTAAGAGTTTGCTTAGATATAGATATAATCCCCCTTTCATGTCTTATTTGTTATTATTTACAAAGTCTAAGTCCACTGTTTAGAAGTCAGTTGGCAATACCTACTATTGCCAACGATGCTGGTTTAAGGACAGTATGTTTTCTTCTCCAGCATTGTGGACTTGCATGTCACCAGGGCCTTCTGGAGAGGGCTATCTGGGAGAGGGGGCTCTCTGTCCATTTTTTAAAAAATAGCTTTATTAAGGTATACCATACCATAGAATTTGCATACCATAGAATTCACCCCTTAAAGTGTACTATTTAATAGTTTTGAGCATATTCACAGATATGTACAGCCATCACTATAGTTGATTTTAGAACATTTTCATCAAGAAAAAATATCTTTGAACTATTACCCTACTCTCCTAACAGCCCCATATTCTCTGCCTTAGCAACCATGAATCTATTTTGTCCTGATAGATTTTCTTGTTCTGGACATTTCATATGAATGGAATTATATATTATGTGGTATTTCGTGCCTGGCTTCTTTCACTTAGCATAATGTTCTCAAAGCTTATCCATGCTCTAGAATGTATTCTTTATATGTCTGAATATGATTCCATCATATGGCTGTATCTCTTTCCATTTTTAAAAGATCATTTTGGACGGTGGGGTCATTACAGATTGTTCCACTTACCAACACACACGCGTCCATCCATGCCCACAGCCAGGCCTGGGGGACAGTCACAGCGGAAGGACCCCTCGCTGTTGATGCAATGTCCATTCATGCAGATTCCTGGGGTCTGGCATTCATCAACATCTGCCCAGAGGGGGACAGGACCAGGCCATTACTGGGTAAATTTAACTTTATTACAGAGTTTACTTGTTGCCATTGCTCTATACTATCAACTTCTTGTTGTTTTTTTTTGTTTTTTTTTATTTCGGCATATTATGGGGGTACAGATTTTAAGGTTTCAAAACTTCTTGTTTTTAACTTTATAACTTTCAGAAGAACACAAATACGGTAACTGATCTTACACTTATAAATGCAATTCTTTCAAACACATTTTCGGAAAGACGAACTGAGTGAAAGTTTCTTTATTTTTTCCATTAAGAAAAAAAAAGCCTCATAAACTCCTTTTCCATTATTTATTTGGCAATTCTGTTTAATATTAAATATTTAATTTATATTAGTCAAGTGAAACAAATTATTAGGAAACTAAGACAAACTTTTGTAATTTTTTCACACAAAAAAAGTTTAGAGGTACATGTTATTTTGATGTTAATTTGATAATTTCATAATAATAAAATCATTTGAAGTATCTCTTCTAATTTTTAATTCACTTGAACTTATCAAATGTAACTTAACGTTAAATGACTTTCCCAAAAGATGAAATAGACTACAAATATAGAGCTGCCAGCTCATGAACATTTCAAGACTTATGAATCACAACATTTAATAAAAAATTAATAAAAAATAATTTTCAGAAAGCAGAAATAAAGTTGGATGCTGTAACATAATGATACATACTGGGGCATAATGGTAATCTCACATCTTGTGTTAAATTCAAGTCAGCTGACCTTGAGATGCCCTCCTACTCATGAGTTCAATCAGCAAAACTACAGTATTTCCATTTACTCTTGTACTCCTCTTTCTTGGATAGTCAAAAAGTTAATTGTTATTCAGAAACATGAAAAATTTGTCTCTATTTTTTTCTCTCTACTGATCGAGAAATTTCATTAAAATTATAGGGATTGGTTATGAGTCTTATTTGGTATTCAGATAAGTTTGTACAATTGAAGGCAGAAAGTATTCATGGAGTTACTTTTGCCTAAATGGAAGAAACTAAGAAAAATAAAAATTTTCTTCTAAGTAGGAACTGCAAAATGTATTCTACTTTCCTAAATTCCAATTGTGAACATGAACATAATACAAGTGGCATATCTTTTGCTTCCTAAGGTCATCACTAGAGTCTGGCCTCCAAAATAGGCTTAGAAACAAAATAATCAGTAAGAATATTAAAATTATGTCTTCACTAAATTAGCATACGATTTTTAGATAATGATATAGTTATGAATGATCTGTAGATTAGCTTTATGAAAAAGATGTAATGCTAAACTAGCATAGCATGGCAGTGGAAAATCTAGTTTTAAGAACACATAAGAATGAAAATTTTTTCCTCTTTTTTATTCAGCCAAGGAGGAGAGAGATTATGTCTATCTACATTGCTCTCCTCAAGAGTTGCTAAAACCAGTATGTCATTCCCTTAATTTTCCCTATACCATTATTATTTTTGTAAAGATATTACTGTCCCCTAGACCACAAATGCCACGGTTTGTGTTTTTCTAAGGAGCTTTGGACACCTGCCTTACTGAATTAGCAAGAGATGTGAACAATAGGAAATGTACATGAAAAAAAACTGAAGTGATTTCTTGCATGCTTCCTTCAAATAAAAAAGACGGGTTCAGTTACGGCCACTTTCCTATGGCAAAGCTACACATACCAGTGCAGTAACGCCCACTGGGAGCCAAGACAAACCCTGGCTTGCAGATGCACTTGAAGCTGCCGTCCTCATTGATGCACATTCCATTCAGACACATGTTGGTGGTTGCACATTCATCATGATCTGCAGACAGGAGAGAGGGACTGAGACCACTGGTTTTGAGGGAACCAATTCCCTCTTCTGCCATAAACAACTCTCAAATTCCACCACAGAAATGAGCCACGTGCTCATGGATTTTAGTTTTTAAAAAAGTAAGAATGCCAACCGAATGACAGCAAATGGTATGAAGAATGGAAAGGGCCTTTTTATAAGAGATAGGAAAGAAAATAATTAAATAAACTTTGCGATTAGCTGCTGTTAGAACCACATAAACCATGAATAGTTTTACATTTTGAGCATCAAGAAAGGTAATATGATTTTACTGAGTATTTATTTTATGAGAGAAAGCGTAAATAGAGTATTTCTGTGGAATACTTGTAACCACTGCACTGCTAGACATCACCAGGACCACAAATTTAGATACTTGTTTATCACAAATGCCAAACATTTTAATATTCCCCTGGTATGGGGGAAAGAAGGGAAAGACTTCTATCTTGTCGGTTTTGTAACCCCAACATCTGAAATACAGTAGGGGCTAATAATTATTTGAATTTACAAAGACTAACTGCCACTTACAATTAAACATATACCACAAAGGAATTTTTAGAAACATAAATTATTCATTGTTAAAACAGGTCCAAAAATATCTGTCCCTTTGCTTTAATAGTCTTATGTTAAATGTGTTTATATTTTACGTAAGTTATCTGAAGAACTCTCCCATATGTGATGTGTGAACTTTCATGGAAATAGTATATATGGTTCTAAGTAAAAAAAAAAAATATATATATATATATGTGTGTGTGTGTGTGTGTGTGTGTGTGTGTGTGTGTGTGTGTGTGTATGTATATATATCTCCCTTAGAAATCTTTTGCAAGGGAGCAGGCAATTTTCATACCAACACAGTTTTTTCCATCTGTAGTTAATTCAAAGCCAGCATTGCAAATGCACTGGAAACTTCCATCTGTGTTCACACATCGACCATTTTTACAAAGAACTCCATTCTGGATGCACTCATCGATATCTAGGAAGATTAAGGATGGTCAAACATTATTCTTTTACAATACTTATAGATGAAAACAGTAAGGTAATAAGTGGAATCTTAAATATCCAGTTTATTTTTACATGTAATATCCAAGATATGTTGCTTCTTTAGCAAAATTTCCTCTCTCACCAGCTTTTTTTCTTGGGTAGGTAGGTGTAAGCAATTTTATATCCCTTATTATAAGTAGCGGAAGAGGGAAAGCAAGAGGAAAAAAATGGGCTACGCAGTAAGCCTAAGAAAGGGTGGGTAGTGCAGTTGGTATTACTGGTACAGCTGTTTTCTGACATAATGATTGAAGATGTTGAAAAGTCAGAAAAAGATGTTGGGTAAGTGTGAAATAACTACAGAAGTTCTAGATTAAGAGTAATATAATGAAGTCTGCTGGAGAAAGTTGATTCAAACAACTACCTGTAGAAAAATAGGAAGTGACAAGCAGAGTCACCTGGTGAAAGTATTCTGAGATGAATCAGCAGTGGGGTAGAGTCTGGATGATGATGGTGGGTGTAGCAATGAAACTGTGAATAAAGACTAGGCATGATTTGGTGTTGGACTATGTGCAGGGTTCAAAGAAAATGGCAGTTGAAAACAACTATAAGTCTTATGCTCAGTTAATCAGAGAAGATTATTGATGTTACTTGGAGAAAGGAAGCTGCAACTTAGGGAAGGAAGATAAATTGAATTTTTGTGACACGGATACCATACTGCCTGGGTATATATGCAAACAGTGTTTATGTTTAAAGGGAGCATCTCTAAGGATATCATAAAATAAATCTGTAATAATGTAACAGCATGTATTTCATTCCATATCTTATTTTAATAAATTTGCTTTAAACCTCAATAGCCTTGGTCCCTATACTTTATGGAACATTTTCATATGTGAAAGCAAACTGCCTTACCAATGCATGCTTGCTTGGTAGGAGTCCTCTGGAATCCAGCATGACATTTACAATAATAGGAACCAGGTGTGTTAACACACTCTCCATTAGTGCAGGGATTTGATGTGCATTCATCAACATCTGTGAGCAGCAGAAGAAACCATTATAGACTTCACTCCATTTGTAGAAATGTTTGTTTAAAGTACATTTAGCCCTCCCAAATTTGAGAGAAGGCCAGTCAGTGGTAAGAGTCTAAATAGTATTTATAAATGAATGAAAATTCCTTTCTTCAAATACATACAGAGGCCAGTCAGAAGATTTACAAAAATATTGCCCATCAGAGAGTACGTGGAAATTTGCTTTAATCAAGAAATAAGGATTTTTCAATTGGAGCAATGCCCAACAATTAAAAACATGGCCTCTGAAAAGACACAGCTGTGCGTTCCTATAGGCTGCAGCACTTATTTCCTATAGCAATCTGGGCAAATTAAACCTTTCTAAGCCTTAGTACAGTTTCAGAAGAACAATGAAAGGTTTCTGAAGTTATTTATATTACATACTGTCACTGCTATTAGTTTTAAAAATAGATTATTTTAAAAAAAATAGTTTTAAAAATAGATTTAAAAATAGATTGATGGATTATGGAGTTTCTTTGGTATTACTTTTTGTAAACTCATCTATATATATACCTATAGATGCACTGAGGCTGGGATGATATTTTGAAGTAACAAGCATAGGGGGCAGAAAACCGAAACAAAACAAATCCTATTATTTTCAGTAGCTCTGGGTTTCTTTAGGATCTTAAAATTGCCACAGGGATTTTTTTTTCATAACTGAGTTTGGGTAAATAATAGTTTGAATCTAAAATGGGAGACAGTCACTGTTTTTCATCCAAGGTCTCCTAAAGCAAATTAAATGCAAACCCATTGCAGAATTTAGGGACTGAAAAACCAAACAACAGACTGAGCAGTCTGGGCAAGTTAAATCCCACAGAAATCACGTGTGCCAGTGTAAGAAATTTAATTCATCTTCTCTCAGCAATGCCCACTAATTATACTAAATGCTGGCAAATTAAAAACCTAGCTAGCTGGTGAGGGCATAATGATTTGCCATCTCACATACATGTAGAAGCCATTAACATATACAATTTCAGCTAAATTGGAGAGCACAACAATAAAATCAATTCACAGGTTTAGCATTTCAATAAACAGATTATTCCTTTCATAGATGTTCTTAAAAGAGGAACTGTACTCTATCAAACTCACCAACCTCATTTGTGTAAACACTCAGACTGAATGCAATTAAGTCCTTTCTGGTAAAGGAAAAAAACCCTCTCATAACGAATAAAATAAAATCAACAAAGAATAACAGGATTAAATGCTTTTTTCAATTCATCCAAAGACCCTTCAGCCCATTAAGACTCACTTACATTTAAACTTTTGGTTGATAACATCAATTCTACTGAGCCAAAGGAATGAAGCGAAATGAGAAAAAGAGAGAGCATTAACAAGCATGTAAGGTGTAATTAATGGACTTTCCAGTATAAAATGTCACCTTCAGTCTGCAGAGTTGAAGATGACTTAAATTCTCTGTGTGTACATAACTGAAATGTAGCAATTAAGAATTAGTTGGAGCTGTATCTTTATAGAAGCCTCAAGGTAAAGCTCTATTCTAGTAGAGAACATGAGAGACCGTGCACCCAACCCTCTCTCTTTAGGTAAACTTTGTGGGAAGCCATGTCACACTGTTCAGGATCTTTCTCTCCGTTGAGAGCCTGCTCCCAAGGCTCCTGTTGCTGTGACAGTTCTGCCAGTTATCTTGCCATTACAGCCCTAATTCATTTGTCTCCTTAGCCCCATGGGGACCTCATCAAGGGTCCAACACACGGAAGAGAAGTAATAGTTCACTTATTTCTTCTTTGGGAGTGAGAAAAATCTCAGCAAACCATTAGTGACTTTACTGCTCCATATTACTTTGAAACTTCATTTTTTGTTTGTTTTCTGGGATTATGTAACATTTTCAGTTTTAGACTAATCACAAATGACCACTGCCACCTCTGAAATGGGCATTTCATGTCTCCTCTTTATTCTGAGTCTCACAGTTAATTACCTCTAGGTAATTCATGTTTATCTTATTTATAGGAACAAAAGCACTTAAATACTACAGTCTGTATACTTTCATTTCTATGTATGTTTCATTGGGGAACTATATTTTTAGGCAAAATTCGTGGTATATAAACTAAAATAAATGAAGAAATTGTGGAAAATGCTGATTATCAAAATGGTAAAATTCTCAAATACTATTAGGGTTAAGGAGTACTTTAACATGAAAGATGCTTTATATGTTAACTTAGAAAAGACTTTTTTTTAATTTGCAAGGACTCTAAGATTACCTGTAGTCCAAAACAGAGATTATATTTTATTATTCTAAAATAGAATAATTTGAATTGAGTTAAAACCAACTGCTAATAGCAGTTGACTTATATAGACACTGAGAGTCACAAAATTTAATTTTAGAGTAGAATTCTCAAGAGAAAGAGAGAAAAATGTGATGAGTAAACAGATTTGTTTTCAGGCCTCACAAGTAATTCTATGTTCAGCAAAATAGACCCAATTCTATTTTCCTTGTCTTTGATGCTTTAATATAGCTATTGCTTTTCAAGTTATACTGCTCCATCAGGTATCAAAAAAAAAAAGTTTCCAAATAGCAATGACAGTTTATTATTACTCAAAACATTGGCACAATTGAAAGTTAACACTCTTATCTTGGGCTCCTATAATTTGCAACACTAGTTAACTTATATCCTATTCACTTTATCTGACATCCCAATGTATTATTTAGAAACTCCAAAACAAACTGATCAAAAGCTGATACTAGAGATAATAAAGGATTAAAAATATTAAAAACTCATTTTCTGAAAATGTGCCCCAATACTAAGCTATAGCTCTATGAATTACAGTAGTCAGAAAGATAACCCTGCTGCTTGGGTTTTAACTTTGCAAGGCTGATTGATGAGATCCATCTAGAATGGAACTGTCTGTAACACTGTTTGGGTAAACACAGAAGTTTGAGATTTATATTAACATATTAACTGTGCAGACATAAAATCCCAATACTACATCAGACAGAGTTGATAAAAAGAGTGGTAGCATCCCTTCTCAGCTGGGCTCTGGGAAAAATTAGACTCTACTATCGTAAGACATTCATTGTGTGTAATTAACTCATCTCTTAGGCATCTAAGAAGGAGGTACTAACTTTTCATAACTATGCATCAGCCTGGGGAGAACTAAGAAAAGTCATTCAAGTAATTTTCTACAAGGTTTAATTCTAGTGGAACCCTGGTTGAAAAGGTTGGGTAGCAGCATGACTACAGAAAAAGAACTTTTGATTCTTAAAGTAGTTCATCTTTATACTAATGGCTCACAAATACAGTCCTCCAGAGCAGAGGTGTTTTACAGGAAAGAATAAAATGCACCTGGGTGTTAACATGAAATAAATGGTGGTCTTTGGCTAATTTACAAAGAATGTCAAATTTTGGGCCAATGTTTACTTGTTGGTTATTGTATCATTTAGTGACAAATATTAATAGAAAAACACAGACAATAAAATTTCAATTTTATAGATTGCAATTGTGTATTTACATACAAGAGGACATATTTTATATATTATACATTTATATTCATATTTTTGGTAGCATAATCATTTTCAAGTCATAAGAACAAATATATCAGTATTTCATGGTATTCCAAAAGTAACAGCACGACTCAGGTGGCCTATCACTTGAGCGTCGTCGTGCCAGCAACGCCAGGACACACCTGCTGCACGTGGTTGTGCACATGACCCTGGGGGCACCATTCTCACAGGCTCTGTACCTTTACGGTTGTGCGGACAAACCTGAGTAAGCCCTTATTTAATTACTCTGATACTACAGCCCTGCACATAGTTAGAATGATTTGGTTTTCTAAAATATCATATTTGACCCACATTTTCTTTTATAATCATAGTGCACTTAGACATTTTAGTTTAACTTGGAAAAATTGTGATACTTAGTCTCTATACCTGGCCTCTCTTCTATATTGTTTAACAGAAGACCTGAACCCAAATCTATTTACAATTATACTAGTTAATGAACCATATATATGATCATTTGCTGATATTATGAATGAATAAAAGAATAACCTCAAAATGGCTCAATTACCATCATCCTAAAGAGAGATAATCAGACCCTCTTAATTACCATATCCAATAAATAATTTTCCCTCACTATATTTGCTTTTTTCTACTGCATTTAACACCTGACACTGTTTTTCTCTTGAAAGTACACCCCGGCATAGCTTCAGTGACATAACTCTTTCTAGATCTTTGCTGTGTCTCCAACACTATGAGCTGGAAAGGCCTTCGGTGGTGCTGTTCATGGGATTCCAGCCACAGCACTGCAGTTATCGTTTCACTTTTCCTGCATTCAGCCTGGGTGACAATATTCACCCTCACTATTCTAATTGCTACCTGTATGTTGCTGACTCCTAAATCTATAACTCTATCCCTAAACACTCCTCTTCTCAGCATTATGCCTTTATAATTAAATGTCCTAGACACCAAAAGCTCAACATGTCCAAGAGACTCAACAACTATTGCCTCCCAAACTGTACCTTCTTCAGCATGCTAAAGTCACCACCATATATCCAGTTTTGCTCAGCCAGAAACTTGGGTATCATTGTCGTTTTCTGCTCTCTAGCTACCCAGGGACTAATCTGTCATCCAATCCCACTGATTAACCTCCCAAACACTTTTACAATCATTCTGTTGTTTGCAATCCTTTATCACTGCTGTACTAATTTCTTGCCAGGAATTATTATAAAAACTTCCTAACTGGCTTCTTTGTTTCCAGTTTTTTCATGCTAAAATCTTTACACTGAAAAAACAGCAATTACTTCTGCTTTTAGCCAAGACAGATCTGCCCCGCTTCCTGAAATATACAAATAAATGGACCATGTGTAAGAAATGAGGGTTTCCAAGAAACTTGACATCAGATAACAAAGAACACAGATCCCTAAGAGACGGTAAACAAACACAGTGAATACCATTGCTATTTCAGCTTATGGCTTTGAGAGCGTTTTCACACCATGGTGCAGACAGTGGGA